GCCCGAAGACCGCGCGTGAGTTACACGCCGCTGCTGCCGCTGCACCGCTGCTCACGCTTCAAGAGGTAAACTCACGAATTCATTGTTCTTGATTTCTTTACATTTAAATCTAATATGTATGTTCGTTCTTGTTGTTCTTGATTTCTTTACATTTAAATCTAATATGTATGTTCGTTCTTGTATGATTTTATGTGATTACATGAAATTGATTTATATGTTCGAGCATGTTATTTCATTTAAACGCGAGCATTTTAATTGATTTAAATTTGTTTAAATAATTATTTCAATTATCGGGCATGTGTTTATGTGTTTTAAAATTGTTTAAATCGCATAAAATTTTTGTTTTCCGCTGTGTACACGTGTCCGATTCCCAAAAGCATGATCACGACAACTTGCTACACATGTGCCTTAATTGTGTTTTAATACGTGATCACGACAACTTGCTACACATGTGCCTTAATTGTGTTTTAATACGTGATCGAATAGTTGTCAAACGGTCATATATTTGTCTTAATTGCAGTTCTGCGTTTTAATTACATTTTAATATGATTAATTACATATTTAATTACTTGAAGTAACTCATATTAGACTAAAAACAAAAAGTATGCAAAAGGGTGCAATTTGATTTGTTGGTTGACTAGGTTGCACAAGACCATTCTGATTTTGTTTACACTTGATTATAATGAGTAAACATCAGCCCCCTATCTCATCTCAAGCTGTAAGAACGTGGAGGAACCACAAGAATCCAACAAATATAAGCCTTCCAATCATCATCCTCCATTTGGCCTTGTTGGGAATGGGTAGATAAGTGAAGACTTTGTGTTTTGGTCTTCATTTTCAATTGTCTTCTTCCAAAAACGACCAGACCAATTCCTTAAGCTTCTCTTCTTATGTCTTCACTTCCATATTCACATAAGAGAACATCAAACCATAAGAACTCATACATGTATAGCTAGAACAAATTCTGCACCTTCTATGGCTGAAAATTCTATGTTTTGAATTTTAAATTCATCTTTAATCAAGGCTTCTAGCACACCCTATATGAGACTGATCTTTTCACTTCATACACCATATTGAACTTGAGGTATGTTGAAGCTTTCATTTGCTCATCATAAGAACCTAATTATGTGTGCTTTAATGTGAATTTTGCTACGTGTTCTTCATGATGTTTGAATGATCGATGATGCATAGCGATATGAAAGAATATGTTTTGAAAATGGGAGTATGGTACTTGATTGATGGTCGGGTAGGCAAGGGACGCGGGAGGGACCGGCGAAACCAACACATGGTGGCAAATATTTGAGGTCGAAAGACCAGTATGGAAAACCCACAATTAATGAAATAAAGTACGGCTAATACCTGAGGTCGAAAGGCCGGTATGGAAACCCCGCAAAGAGCGGCCAGACAGAGATTTGTTCATATGCCATGCTCCGAGCCATTTTTGTAGCCGAGCTAGAAACTCTGATTTCATTTTGTTAGTCGCTCTCTATTATGGTTTTTGTACAATTTAATTTTGTAAACAATAAATATTTATATATATAAATGTACAGATTTTGAGAAAGTACAGAGTTTTATTTCTTTTCAAAGCATATTATGTATTTTTGTATTAAAACCATAATGTTTAAGTATATATATAAAACGGTTAGCATCCCTTACTTAATGGTGGTAATCCGATTGGATTCTGCTGTTAGGTTGTGGGGCTTTACAACGACACACTCGCTCAAATGGACATGCACAAACGTACATGTAAAAAAACATGCGCAAAAGTGCATTCGCAACAACGCTCTTAAAAACACGAACTTCAATACTAGGACTTTAATACGCATCAACAAACAACAGCAAAAACACTAGATAAAAAAGATACAGTGGAGTGTAAAAATAAAACTCTACGTTGATTTTTTTTTGGATTAATTTATATTTCTATATTAATTGGTGGATTTGGTATCTTATAGGTACAAATCGAATATTGGGTGTCCAGGAAGCAAAAATGATCAAAGAGTAAGAAAAGAGTTGCAATGAGGAAAATAAAATCAAATTAGAAGAGAGAATCCCCAAACATCTTTGGTAGTGTCCACGAAGTCGAGCATAACTTTCTCATCCGAACTCTGAATCAACTGATTTTGGCGGCATGACAAAGGTATTTCGGCTGGCTACAATATCTGTCTAACGGCAAAATTCCAAATTTGGAATCGAACATGGTCAAAATTGGATTCCAAAAGCGATCATGAAAATACGTACTACAATTCGAGGACATGAATGCGCATCAAGAAACATGCACAAAAACACTCGATAGAAGAGATACGCACATAAGTAAATGAACAAAATCATGCACAAAAGTACTCACGCAAAAGTGCATTCGCAAACAGGATGATGAAAACACAAACTAAAATCCTAGGACATTAATACAAATCAACAAACATGCACAAAGACACTCGCTCAAATGGACATGTACAAACGTACATGTAAAAAAATATGCGCAAAAGTGCATTCGCAACAACGTTCTTAAAAGCACGAAATACAATACTAGGACTTTAATACGTATCAACAAACAACAGCAAAAACACTAGATAAAAAAGATACAGTGGAGTGTAGAAATAAAACTCTACGTTTACGTTTACGTGGATTTTTTTTCGGATTAATTTATATTTCTATATTAATTGGTGGATTTGGTATCTTATAGGTACAAATCGAATATTAGGTGTCTAGGAAGCAAAAATGATCAAAGAGTAAGAAAAGAGTTGCAATTAGGAAAATAAAATCAAATTAGAAGAGAGAATCCCCGAATTGTTGGGATGTGAAGCCCAGGATTCAATGAAAATTCGCAAGAGGTTGTAGATTTGCCGGTTTTTATTTTATTAACATTCTTTGATTAGATTCGTTTAAAGTGGAATAAATCTTATCTAGCAACTTACAGTTTTTGCGAGCATAATCGTTTCTATCTTCGGCGCACGAATGAGGATCCACACCAAGCCTTCAACCTTCGTAAAAGCTGCTGTCCAGAAATTTCCAGTCCTCTTCCTTCACCGATATCGCCACGATCGTTGATCCGATTGCAAAACCCTTCACAAGGATTGTACATCAATGGGTTAGGATGCTACTGTATAAATTTCGAGCCTATCCGACTAACGGTTGATTTATGGTGATTTTCTTCGCAGGACTGCTCAGAAAATTCGGGAATTATAGTTTGCTCTAAAAACCTATAATCTTCTATTGTATATCCCGGATTAATAATTCTTCTACAAGGGTTGACTTGTACTTGAAGAAATCTAAATCTATAATCGAGAAGTTAGAGAGAAAAGAAGAAGAGAAAACATATTTCTCTCCAACGTGAAATAGGCGTGTGTAAATTATTCATCTCTCATCAACCTAATCTCTATTATATATAACACAAGGAATTAGAGTCACACATAGAGAGGATTACATGGAAACAAATCCCACTCCTTCTATAACTCTATATAATCGAAAATTGTAGTACAATGGGGACTTAATTTTTGGTTATATTAATTCCAATATATAATATTGGTTGAACTTTATTTTCTCGATTAATTAGAAAATCCACTGGGCTACAATAGGGACTAAAGGAGAAAATATAAATCGGGCAACTAATGATTAATTAAATCCAAACTCTTAAAAGAATTCATTTAATTAATCATTAAATAATTATTTATTTTCCACTACCAAATAATTATTGAACTCCCGTTTATATTCTCAAATATTACATTCGAGCTCCGGTCGATCATTACTTAGATTCTCCCCACATTAAGATATCTTATAACCACCAAATAATTTATTCACTGCTAAATAAATTAAATGGTTTCTTTTCATGAGTCTTACCCGCTTAACTTATTTGAGTATGCCGGATACGAAATCCACCTGGCCAGGACTTGGCATAAACAAATCTTATAAGCTACTCAAGGGTTATTATCAATCTCATATTTCAGAGATGTGGATTCACTACAAGAAAAACTGGATTTAGGGACGATTTGTTATGGTCACTAAAAGCAATAAAATGGTCGTTAAAACCTACAGTGACCAAATTAAGCTTGGTCACTCGTGGTCACAACAGAGTGGCTACTAAAAGTATTAGTGACGAGTCAAATAGTTGGACGCTAAATTTCTTTATTTAGCGACCAGGTAATCATGGTCATTAAAGATGAATTTATTAGCGACAAATTAATTACTCGCTAATGTTAAAAAGTATGGTCTCTATAATATTAATATGGTTGCTATACCTATATATTTAGTGACCAATTCATGTGATTGTATTTATTTAGCAACCAAGAAATTGGTTCCAATATAATATTAAAATGGTTGTTGTAACCTACATTTAGTGACCAATCGTTTTGGCTGGTAAATAATATTTGTTTTAGCTACCAAAATATTGGTAACAATACAATATTAACATGGTTACTGTAACTGCAAATTTAGTGACCAATTGTTTTGGTTGGTAAATAAAATTTATTTAGCAACCGAGAAATTGGTTGCAATATAATATTATTGTGGTTGCAGTGATTGTATATTTAGTGACCAATTTTTGTGGTTGGTGAATAATTTTTTTTAGCCACTAAGAAGTTGGTTGCAATATAATATTATCGTGGTTGCTGTAATTGTATATTTAGTGACCAAACCTTTTGGTTGGTAAATAGTATTTATTTAGCAACCGAGAAATCGGTTGCAATATACTATTATTATGGTTGTTGTAATTGTATATTTAGTGACCAATTTTTTTGGTTGGTAAATAAAATTTATTTAGCAATCGAGAAGTTGGTTGCAATAAATATTACCATGGTTGCTGTAATTGTATATATAGTGACCAAATCTTTTGGTTGGTAAACAATATTTATTTAGCAACCGAGAAGATGGTTGCAATATAATATTAATATTGTTGCTATAACTATACATTTAGTGGCCACATCCTTCTGGTTGGTAAATAATATTCCTTTAACAACCAAGCAATTAGTTGCAATAGATTTAACGTAATATCTGATGTATACATATTGAAAACCAAAATATAGTTGCAAAAACAATTCGAACTAGTTGTTAATACTTATACAAGAAACAACGAACACTAGTTGTAAAAAGATTAAAATATTTGTTCATTTATACATTTCATAACCATCGTCCAAAACTAGTAAAACTAAATCACAACACTTCAATTCCGGATAGGAACATCAGGATCAATGACTTCACGTTGATAGCAAGTGGAGCTCCAACTCAAAGAGCAGCCACAAAAACCAAAAGTGGATGAAGTTGCCGGATTGTATTAAAAGATTTTGGAAAAATCCTGTAGTTCTGCAAGTCAAATAATGGTAGAAACACTATTTTCTATAAGTGATTAATATACATATAAGTTAAATACAAAATTACCTGTTTAAAAATAATCCAGTTGCAATAGAGTGACTACTATTTGCAGGATATTTGAAATATTTCCCTTCATATCAACGGGAAGTCTTGTGCTGATAAGGAGCAAGGATAAGAACAGGGAGTCACAAAAACAGCGGTAACGGTGGATCATAGAAATCCCTGCATATTAGGTAAAAATGAAGTCAATAAATGTTTTTAGTTGAACTTTTTGGAAGCAACAACCAATTACCACCAGAGAAATATTTCTACCTATTTTGCTTTTGCTGTCTCCATCCACACACCATATGCATGATTCTACAGTTGCTCGGTAGTCTGCTTGGTGCAACATTTCGTCATTTCAACTCCTTAGAGCCCCCAATGGAAGTTTATGACAAGCTTGACATACAACAATATCGTTCAACCTTTATATACTTGATAGAAGCCCAACATTTTTCTAGTAACACTACCTGATTTAGATCCTCTTTGACCCCTTCCTATTCTTTGATTACTTCTCTGATTTCCTTGACTGATTGTAGAAAGCCCTCATCACTAAAGCAAAATAAACCACAAAAATTATGTGAATTTTCAACAAAGAAGAAAAGACACACCAAAGTGTTGAAAGCACTAGAAGCTTATGAGTTCGAAGAATCACAATTCTTGAAAGAGGTCAAAGACAAATGAAAATACACAATATATGTGATTTCAATTCACTCAGTATGTGAACTTCACTTTTTGCTTCAACAAATATTATTTTTGAAATAATCTATCACCCAACATATGAAGACCTTCAACTGTTCAGAGTAATCTGCAAAAAAAAAAAAAAAAGGAGCAACGGCGTCTTCTTCAGTTCAGAATAAAACACATCTAAAGTGCTATCACAATACAAAATATAATAACATTTTCTATTGTGATCAGGTTTCCCATATATACTGCACATATTTGAAAATATCTTCTATTTCATGTATTTAACACCTTGTTCAAGGTATATTCAAGGTTACTGCATATGATACCAAAATATTCATAGGTGTATCATTCATAAAAATAATCCAATTCCAATTCCAGCTAATCAAAACAAAGTATTCGATTATAAGAAATAGACTGAGGGCTTTGATGAAATTTCAATAGTTGTCTACTCTATACAATCAAAAAAATATAAAAAAGAAAAAAGGACAAAACATTGAGATTATTACTAACTTTAACAAAACATATATACTGAGATTTGTGTTTTGATTTCTTCACAGCTAAATGTAGCAACTGTCACCTAATTCATTAGTTGTTAGCCAAAAATTTATCATCCTATCTATCTTATTTTACCAGTTCCAAATACTTATTCAATAAATAAATCAGAAATTTAAACAAAAATAAGACCAAAACTGAAAAACCGAAACCAAAACCGATCAAAGCTCAACAAATGAAACCGATTGTGTTCGTTTTTGGATTAATAGAAACAAAATCAATCAGATCGTCGTCCTGTTTTTGGCAATTGTGAAATTAAAGCCCTAATTTTCATTCATAGAAATATGACAATTAAACAATCAGCAAAGAAAAAAAAATTCTCAAATAAACTATTACAACAAACAATCCTTACATTATCCGCACAAGTACGCCCGAAGTAGTGTGCTAATCAAAACGTAAACCTCGTTGCTTTGTTGACCCAACCACTGCTGCCAATTCTAATCGCGCTGCGAATAACTCCTAATGGTGTGAATTAATTGTATACGTGTTTGGGATGCTAAACGGTGATTCCCTTCGCGTTCCAAATATGATTTAGAGGAGAATTTCAATTTTGAGAAGACTCTGGTGTGGGGTGGGGGTGCGAGATGCAGGGTCTTTGGCTGTGTGCGTGCTATTTTTGATTTGGGATGAGGAAGAGTCTTTGATTTTAATTTCTTTCTCTTTTTTTTGCCCCCTCTTTTATAAGAAAAAAAAAGCTAATGGATTGGATGGGCCCTTCTTAGGTTAATTAATTAGTAGCATGTATTTTTTTTCATTTTTCTTTGAAAATTCGTTTTTTTTCTTTTGTAAACAACATAAACTAATACTGATTAAATCAATTTAAATTAAGAAAACGTGTGGAAAAAAATATAATCTATTAATTTTAATATACAATTAATTTAGTTTGTACTCTATTTATTTTTATATAATTAATTTGGTTTCATGCACAAATAATGATTTGACTAATTATAAAGTTAAATATAACTTTTTTCATTCTTTAAAACTTAACACTAACAGCTTGTAAAGTTCAAGCAAATTTCCATTTATGAACCTATCACAGTTTTCCAATTTTTATTATGTTATTTAAAATTTCTGTTTTAATTACTATTAATATTATTTGATACAACTTATGGAAATATCTATAATATATTTTTACTCCTTAAAATATAATAAATTAATGTGTGATATTTAAGTTTAAAGGAAATGATATTATGGGTGAATTTGTGCAGTATATACTAAATTATAACTATATATACTATTAATACAATAACACAAAATCATTAGTAATTGAAAATAAGGTAAAAAATTCTTCCCATAGCCTGACCTTAACAGTGATTTGCTCTCTTTTGCTCACACAAGTCAGAGAAAAAAAAAATTATACAGTTGATGGTGTAAAAAAAAAAAACAGACAATGTGAGATCTATGATTCTTGTGATCGTGTGTTCACAAATCGATTCACTATTCCAAGTCACTATCCATATTAGCATGAGATGCAACTTCATCATCACTAGTCAAATATTCGACCACCGTGTCATCTTCTTCATCTTCATCTACTTCTTCATCTTTATCATTGTGAATGTTTTCACGTGGATTAATTATCTGTTCAGCAATTTCAATCTCTAGAGGAGCTTCATCGTTTCGAACCACCGATCCAATCTCTCGAGCATGAATTTGAACTTCAATATGAGCACAATTTTCTTGTTGATATGCATCACTCACATCAGGCTCCTTTCCAGCAGTAAATTGGATGAGTGATGGGTCAAAAAGATGTCGATGTTGTACATGTTGAACAACTTTCCAATTCCCACCTAATTTTGTATCACTGACGTAAAAGACCTGGGATACTTGATTCGCTAATATATAAGGTTCATTTTCGTACCAAAGCTTCCCCACATTTACGCTAGTAAGATCACCATCTATTTTTATTGCTTTATGACGATCCAAATCAAACCATTTACAACTAAATAATACACATCGATAACCATGAACATAGCTTAATTCAATCACATCTTCTAAGACTCCATAAAACTTGATCATCTTACCTTTGTGAACAGAATCTGTAGACACTCCATTATTTTGTGTCACTCGTCTAGAATCTCTTTTGCTAGTTAGATACTTGACTCCTTCTACAACACACCCACTATACTTACTAAGACGATAATCAGGCCCAGATGCAAGTGCAAGAAGTTCATCGGTAGCTTCGATAGATTTTATACTTCGTAGCTGTTCAATCTAAATATCAAAATAATGTAAATTAACATACATTTGATAAAGAACTACAGTTGTTCCAAAAAAAAAATATTACTGTTAAAAAAAAAGTAACAACAATTTAATGAACAAAATTAAAATATAATTTAGAAATCTTACTCGATTATCAAACCATTTAGCAAACTCCTTCTTTTGCCTAGCCTCCCAACCAATAGGATTTTCTTGCTTCAACTTCTCTTCATGCTCTCTGAAAGAAATAATAACTAAATTAAATAATATTAAAATGCTATTGTAATAATAATAAAAATACACTTGCCTCAAATATAATTCTATCTCTGCACAATTATTTAAGACAAACCAATGCAATTCACTATATTGTTGAGAGGACATCTGTGAAAAATCCGTTTCTCCAAAAGTCCGTATTTTACTTCTGAAAACAGAGATTGTTGCACTTAGATGTGCCTCGCCATCATAATTTCTTTCATCTCTGTTGTATTTCGTCTCCATTCCATGGAGATACAACGAGCAAAAAGTCAAACACTCTTTCACAATATAGGCCTCGGCAATGGAGCCTTCAGGACGAGCTCTATTTCGAACCATCCCTTTTAGACTACTTAAATACCTGTAATAATATCGAAAGGAATTTCAACATTTATTATATAGGAAAATATTGAAGTACGAAGACACATTTAACAACGGAAACAAAGAGATAATGTTTTAACTTCAACATATAAAGAAAAAGTTTGAGAAAAAAATTAAACTCAATAAATATGTTACCTCTCGATAGGATACATCCATCTATAGTGAACTGGTCCTCCCATCTTTGCTTCTTGTGCCAAATGAACTGCTAGATGGATCATAACATCAAAGAATGCGGGTGGAAATATCATTTCTAACTTGCTTAATATCACAGGAATCTTATTTTCCAAATCATCGAGGACTGCAATGTTTAGTTTACGAGAACACAATTGTCTGAAAAAACTGGCTAACTCGGTAATAACATCAAGAACATCTTTGTGAAGGTAACCACGCAATCCTACGGGAAGTAAACGTTGCAATAACACATGGCAATCATGACTTTTCAACCCTGTTATTTTACCATCTTTGATATTCACACATCTAGAGATATTCGCAGCATATCCATCCGGAAATTTTACTCCTTTCAAGAATTCACAAAAACTTTTCTTCTCCTTTAGGGATAATGTAAAAAGTGCTCGCGGCTTTAAACACTTTACTTTACCATCTTTATTTGCTTTGGCACCTTCTAGTGATCTTATGTGTAACTCACTCCTGATACCCATATCCTCCAAATCCAAACGAGCCTTTTCCGTATCCTTTGTTTTACCATCAATGTCTAATATAGTTCCCATCACATTATCACATATATTCTTCTCAATATGCATTACGTCAAGATTATGCCGTAATTTAAGTTTTGACCAATACGGCAACTCAAAAAGTATACTCTTTTTGGTCCAACATGAGGGTTGGGAAGGACGTTTTCGCTTTTTGTCTATAGAATGCTTGCCAAGCACGACATTTTCTACTTCTTTTAGTTGGAAAAGAATATCATCATTAGAAATCTCCATAGGCTTGGATCGTTGTTCTGCTGCACCATTGAATTTAAGACTTTTTCGGTAAGGATGATATCGAGGCAAATAACGTCTGTGACCTATATAACCAATCTTACTCCTTAGCCTTTGTGAAGGAGTATGGATGCTGCATCTTGGACAAGCATAATATCCCTTTGTTCGATGTCCAGAAATATCACCATATGCAGGAAAATCATTTATCGTCCATAAAATTGCAGCACGCAAAAGAAAAAATTCTCCAATTTTTGCATCTCTTGTTCTCACTCCAAATTCCCACAATTCGTTCAGCTCATCGACCAAAGGTCTCAAATAGACATCAATATCTCTTCCAGGTGATCGAGGACCGGGAATCAAAAGGGACATCATCAAGTAAGGTTCTTTCATGCACTGCCAAGGTGGTAAATTATATACCATTAAAACCACAGGCCATATACAGTAAGAATTATTCATATTACCAAAAGGATTAAATCCATCAGTAGCTAGCCCAAGACGCACATTTCGAGGATCTTTAGCAAATGAAGGGTACTGCTCATCAAAATCCTTCCAGACTTTAGAATCTGCAGGATGAATCATCATATCATCTTCCTCAATTTTCCCATCCTTATGCCATCTCATATCAGATGCTGTTTTTCTTGACATATACAGCCTTCGTAATCTTGGCTTCAGAGGAAAATAACGCAAAATTTTGTGAGGAACTTGCTTTCCTTTGCCATCATTAACCTTCCATCGAGACTCTTTGCATACTGGACAACTATCTAACCGCTCATGTTCTTTCCAAAAGAGAATACAATCATTTTTACATGCATGGATAAACTCATACCCCAACCCAATCCCTTTTAATACCTTCCTGGCCTCATAAAACGACGACGGAATTATATCTTCCTCCGGCAGATATTGTTTAAATAAATCAATAATCATGTCATAACACTTATTAGTCATCCGATTCAATACTTTTATATGAAGCAATTTGACGAGGAAAGATAACAACGATTTCGAACAACCGGGATATAATTTACGTTGTGTATCTTTCAACAATTTCTGAAAATTTTCCACTTCATCATCTAACATAATATTTGGTTGATCACCATTGAGATCATCAGGATTATCCAATGGATTTTCACGATCAATAAAATTATGCATCCCAAAGTTCAAATCTTCTAACAACTCTTCTTCCTCGAATGTTTTATCTACATCATCATTAACAATGTCATCTTCCACATGTTCATAGGGATCTTCACCGTGGTGCACCCATTCATCATAATCGATGTCCATCCCGTTGGTGAGGATATGCAATTTGACCAAGTCGGGTGGGTGCAAAATCTGATTCAGACAGTTGCTACATGGACAACGCATAACCTTTCTATCCCCAATATGCAGCAGAGCAAATCTCATGAAACTTTTAACTCCATTAACAAAATCTTTTGAAGTAACATCGTTGAGCTTAATCCAGCTCTTATCCATTTACAATTTCTTATACTGAAAAAAAGAACAATGTGATAAATTTAGTCAAATCATAGCCGAAAACATGTTGTGTACTTCGAACGCCTCCATGTGACATTTTTTTATTAGTTAATTTTGGATTTTTTTTTTCTAAAACAAGTGTAATGAAAGTCCAAATTCACTGTTAATTAAATATCGGTTTTATGCCAAACCGATCGAACCGATAGACAAAACCGAAACAAAAAATAAACCGAATTGATACCGAAACCGTTAACCGAAAATCGAAAAACCGACTAACACCGAACCGAAAAAAATCGACATGTTCGGTTCTTAAAATACGGAAAACCGAAAATCGGTACGTGCACACCCCTACTTGTCTGAGAAATGTGATAGCTTGTAAAGTCAAATGTATGAATGAGAAGGATGATTGGGGCAAAAGCTCGTGAGGTCGGTGAGTCGGGTCTACGAAAGCTCGAATTCGAACTCAATTTGTTTCTAGCCGGCTTTCTAACGAGTCGATCCTGATCTCATTCTTAATTGTTCGTGAGCTCCCGAGTCGGCTCGCGTTCTTTACTTATTTATTTTACTTTTTTTTAGTTTAATTGTAATTAGTATAAAATTAAATAATAAACTCACATCAATAATTGAAAAAATAAATTACAGTTCATTTTTTTAGTTAGAGTGAATAAATTTCTACATGTGGTTGAAATCGCAGAGCAATCAAACGTACAAAACCCGTAAAACATCACCCATAACCAAATGATATGAAGTAACCTGGATTTAATAACATATTATATATATATATATATATATATATATATATATATATATATATATATATATATATATATATATATATATATATATACAAATTATAATATATGAACGAAATACATGAAGCTTAGATTGCGATGGTGGGATTATGTATCCGATCGGTCTCGATTAAGACTTAAGACTGGTCAATTTCTGAATTTTATGAAAACATAAAGTTTTGACAGTTTTTTTAAATCATAAATCAAAGAACTGTATAAAAAATATTTAAATTATTTTTCACGTACAAAAAGTGAATAATTTTTTCGAGCATGTGTAGTTAAAGGAAAAAAAAGATTGAAAATATAAAGTTAGAATGAATTTTTATATGTAAATACTAGAGGCATGTTTTTATTTATAACTTTATATTCAAATATTGAAAAAGTTTTTACATATAAAAATTCATTCTAAGTTTTTTCAGAATAAATATTGAAAAAGTTTTTCCATATTTTTGTACCTTTAAAAATTTCGAGTGGTATATTTTTATTTTTTTATATTAGAAAATAACAAATCTTAAATCTCTTAGTAAACACCCCTTATCTTGTCATTGCAATGTACAGAGACACACATAATATTATAATATAATAAAATAATACATACACTAATATAAGTGCAAGAACAAGATTGAATGAAATCGAAGGGTATTTTGGATGAAAGGCCCCCTTTTCTTTTCACAGGAGAATTGGCGCTAAGAGTTGGCGGTAATTATCTCCAAGTTTCAGAAATCACTATCAATAGAATCCCTAAAGCCAGCCCTAATTCCTATTCTTTAGGAAGAGAAAAACCGTAATACCCCCAAATCTCACATCAAAATGGAAAAAAAATCAGAATCCAAATCATCAATCCAACCTAGAATAATAAAAAACCGTCGACAAATCCAATACTCAAGAAGATTGGCGCTAAGGGTGTTTTTTAGAGGGGAATTGGCGGCAATTTACTATTTGATAAGGTAACTTCTCTAATTTTGCAGTAATCTACTACCACAATATATATATCTCTCTTTCACATGCTCTTAACACATAACAGAGGAATTAAAGGGGCAGTGGAACACAAGGACGCGATCTTCCGTCAAATTTTCGGGCGACCAAGAAGTCGTGTGCTTTCACCTACTGGAGTAATAAATCTTTCCATTGCATCACAAAACTTTTAACGGTATGTCGTGATTCATCTTTGCGCACCACAATTTTATACATAGGACTATGTGTAGGAGATGAATAGACAGATTTCCTCTTCATATATAGTTGTTCTTTGTTCGTATTGTTTTCAGATATCTGGCAAGTTTTTATATATGATTTATCTTTATAAATTTAGTAACTGAAGGAATTATGTATTGATGGTAATTTACTGTATCAGAGGTCACGAAATTATGATGCACAAAGACTCTCAACTCGAAGGTCGAACAAGAAAGATTTACTAATTATTTCCTTTCAATAGCAATTGTTGTATTCAAATTTTCAAGACCCGTTCTTTTTTTTTTTTTGCTGAAAGAAAAGTTTAGCTTGTTTGTACCAGATAAATTTCTCATTATAAGATTCCATTGTCATATTGGTTTACATGATACATGTTTTTTAAGTTTTTTTCATTGATTTCAATATCTTAATTATTTTCAGATCTCAAGTCTAATAATGAGTATGGATCACAAACGTAGAATGGAGATATCAAGAGCATTGAAGACAACTAACAATATTGGAAATTTGAAACGCAAGATGGAGTTAGCCGGTGCTTTAACTGCAACAAATGATATAGCTGATGAGCCAACTGAGCATTCCTTACTTCCAACTTTAAATGGTATGTGATATTGACATTTTGTTTTATTTTAGTTGCATTTATATATAAAAGATAGTTTAAGTTAACATTTTGTACTTTGAATATTGTAGTTTCAAGTAAAAATAAGAGAGTTTTGCCCCCGACTAAATCAAATATTTCTAGCTCTTCAACTAGACAACCGACAATAAACCCCAAAACTAGCGATAAAGGTACTTCTTTTTATATAATTGGGTAAATATATATAAACTATGTTTATTCAATTTTTAGGTTTACATATTACCTCAACTCAAGTAAAAATCTAATCAATATTTACAGTTAGAGTGAATACAAAAGATCTTCAGGTACAACACATGACCAATGCGTCAAATGAGCACAATAGAGTTGATGTTACAGGTATTGTTATCTAAAATAGTTTTTTGGTATTTATTTTTACTTATATCTTGTATGTAACAAAATTAATTCTTGAATCAACCACAGATACAGTGGATAAAGAAAATGCCGTAAATGGTAATGTTATGACATTCTTTTCTTTGTCTAATTTATTTTATATTGGTACAATAAATAATTGACTTGTCTTTTCATCTATTTATGTTAAATATGGATTAGTGAATAAAAAACGAGGTCGTGGACTGACTAGAGGCTTAAATACCCAACAATATAAACGCAAATCCGGAGGGGAGAAGCCAAAAATCAGTATTGCAAAAGGATTAAACAGGCCCGTTGGAGAGCATAGCTCTAAACATGCAACTGAGATCGGAGTCTTAATTAGGTGTGAGGCTCCAATGCAAGTCGAGGGTTGGGCAAAGATCCCGGATGAAACAAAAGATCATCTTCTTAGAAAGTTGACTGTAAGTGATGTTTTTAATTTTCTTTATTTCTAATTTTCTTTAACTCTATATTTAGCCATATAATAGTACCTAATTCGAATGTTTCAAATTTTCTAAATGTCAAAAAGAATAAGCTCAGCTATGAACTGGAGGAACCTCATGTTGTTCAATGCATTTGGAAGTCTTTTGCCAAACAATATTCATCTTTCCGTTCAAATGCTCATAAATATTATTTAAAATGGAAAGAAGGAGGTGGTGTGACACTAGCTAGGCAAAATATATATGAAAAACTTGGTGATCGTCGTGACGATTGGCTTTGGTTGTGCGATTTTTGGGAGACAGCAAAATTTAAGGTACTTTATTATTTTATAAAAGTTTTGTTATAATAAATCGATATTTATTGATTAGAAAAATGTTTCATTATATTATTATTTTTTATTTATCAATATTTGCAGAAAATTTCAAGTACTCAGAAAAACAATAGGAAGAACCTGACATATAGTCATAAATTGGGAACTAAGTCTCGTGCAGCACATCAACATGAGAAAGTTAGTCATTTTTTTTTTCTTACATTGAAATTTTTGGTTGTAGACATAAATTAACCTTTTAGTTGTTAACTCACAGGGTTTCGATGATATTGATATGTATGAGGTTGAATATCATAATGCAAAAAATGGATGGGCACATAAAAACTTTGAGGCTAATAGTGTAAGTGTAATTCATATTTTAGTTTATTTGTTAGTTCCTTTCATCAATTTTACTAGTGTGATAAAAGTAAATATTGTATCCATTAAATGGCTAATATAGTTACTCGTATTTGGAAATAGGTTCGAATGAAAGAATTGAGAGAACAACAAAGAGCTTTGCCAGATAGCGTTCATCAAATGAGCACAGAAGAAATTTGCATCGAAGTTTTAGGCGAAAATTCATCATATGCCAAGTCAAAAGGCCTTAATCGAAAAGCATCGGGAGTTGATGCTATTTCAACTTTTGAAGCTTCTAGCAGTCGGGCACGATTAGAAGAAGAGTTGGCGAACACACAGTCTGAGTTGGCGAACACACAGTCTCAGTTGGCTGTTCAAAAAACTACTGTGGAAGCGGTAGTAAAATTTATGGAGCAAATGACTGGCAAAAGCTTTTCTGAAATTATAAATGTACCTAACTGGTGAGTTCGTAACTAGAATAAATTCAAATATGATGTTACTAATAATATATTTATTTGTAAATAAAATTTTGCGCTTGTTCAAGCTAGTCTTATTTTTATAATTTATAATGCATAGCTAACAAGAAATGAAGAAGTAATTTGATCGAGGTGGGTTTTAGTTGATGGGACGCATTATTGCCATAGGCAAATTATGATTTAAATTTTTAAATTCAGTTGATGTTTACATTGTCGGAATGTTTCATAGGGGTCATTGTCTTAATTTGGATTTGAGTTACAATAATTTTTTTTAATACTATGAGTTTGTTTTATGATATGATTATCTGCTTTATTTAATGTTGGTTTGTTAATTCTTTAACTTGGATAAGAATTAGGTTTGTAATTTCCTTGTTATTCGAAAATTGAAAAGATGTTCTAGTTTAGCAAAGGAAGTTTGCATTATGTAGGAGAAAAGACATTAAAAACAGAGAATTATGTTTGTTAGTTTATTTATCGTATTATTTTAACTTTTTCTCATATTATACTGTTAGCACACACAAAATATGAATGGAAATAACTCAGAATTATGACGGAGAAATAACTCCTAATTATGTTAGCACACTATCCCCTTCTACAACAGAGTAAACCGACATGTCATCTCCCTCCATCTCTCTGTCTCTCTCTAGAAAACTACAATGGTTTCAATGAGTACAAACCTTGAAAGATTTTTTTCCTTTCCTTTTTCTTTATTCCGGGAAAAAAAATATTATTATTATTTTATTATTATTATTGATGAAAAAAACATCAATTGGATATTTTTTTTAATATTAAGTAATGACAATGTTCATTCGGTTGCTATAAATATTTATTTAGCAACGCTGTAAAAAGATATTATAGAAACCAGATGAGTGGTTGTTAAAGATCGCTTTAAAGACTTGTAGCAACTATTCGATATTTTGTTATTAAATTGGTCAATGTTGATATTTATTTACAGCGACCAAATACAATTCTCGCTAAACGCTGCAACTTTGGTCACTATACTAGTACCCGAGTATTGTTAAATTATAGTGACCATTGATAGTCACCAAATATCAGTTGGTCGGAAAAAAAATATAAAACTGACTATTTGCAACCAATTAATTTTTGGTAGCTACATTCTTGCTATGAAAATATTGTTAGCAACCGAATTAATTGGTCGTTAATGGCATTTAAAAATTTTATAGCAACCATTGTATGTTTTGCTATAGATTGGTCACTATTAACATTACTTACAACAACCGTTTTAAAAGAAGTCACTAAAGACTATATTCATGGTCGCTCAAGACTTGACAAGCAATAGTGACCATTTATAGCCACCAAATCTTTGTTGGTCGCAAAGAAAACATCAACTACAAAAGTTATTCTCTGTTTACTATGATCAAGACCAATCACTTAAATATTATGCTACAATCTTTTACCAATGGTTAGTCTATTTCCATCTAGATTGTGAACGTTATCTTTATATTCTAAACGTACTTTTGAAATGATCTTTTTGTGCGCCGTAGCACACCATCTCGAATACTATTAGAATAATTGACTTATGATTTTAATTAATTGACAAACAATCGATTAAATGCATTGAATACCCAAGTGCAGATTCTCATAAAATGATAATATACAATTTTATTCAATCAATAATAAATTCATGAGCTAAAAGCGAGACTTTTAGTCTACTATCCTAACACGAATATCTTTGGTAGTGTCCACGAAGTCGAGCATAACTTTATCATCCGGAATCCAAATCAACTGGTTCCGGCGGCATTAGAAATCTATTTCAGATGGCTACAATTTCTGTCTAATGGCAAAATTCCAAATTCGGACTCGAACATGGTCAAAATTGGATTCCAAAAGCGATCATGAAAACACGTTCTACAGTTCGAGGACATTAATACGCATCAAGAAACGTGCACAAAAACACTCGCTAGAAGAGGTACGCACATAAGTAAAAGTACAAAAGCATGCCCAAAAGTACTCACGCAAAAGTGCATTCGCAAAAAGGATCATGATAACACAAACTACAATCCTAGGACATTAATACAAATCAACAAACATGCATAAGCATACTCGCTCAAATGGACATGCACAAACGTACATGTAAAAAAATACGCGCAAAAGTGCATTCGCAAAAATGTTCTTTAAAACACGAACTGCAATACTAGGACATTAATACGCATCAACAAACAACAGCAAAAACACTAGATAAAAAAGATACAGTGAGTGTAGAAATAAAACTCTACGTTTACATTTACGTGGATTTTTTTTCGGATTAATTTATATTTCTATATTAATTGGTGGATTTGGTATCTTATAGGTACAAATCGAATATTAGGTGTCGAGGAAGCAAAAATGATCAAAGAGTAAGAAAAGAGTTGCAATTAGGAAAATAAAATCAAATTAGAAGAGAGAATCACCGAACATCTTTGGTAGTGTCGACAAAGTCGAGCATAACTTTCTCATCCGAACTCCAAATCATCTGGTTCCGGCGGCGTTACAAACCTATTTCAGCTAGCTACAATTGCTGTCTAACGGCGAAATTCTAAATTTACACTCGAACATGGCAAAATTGGATTTCAAAAGCGATCATGAAAATACGTTCTACAGTTCGAGGACAAGAATGCGCATCAATAAACGTGCGCAAAAACACTCGCAAGAAAAGATACGGACACAAGTAAAAGTACAAAAGCATGCACACAAGTACTCACGCAAAAGCGCATTCGCAAGAAGTAACAATAAAACACAAACTACAATCCTAGGACATTATTACAAATCAACAAACATGCATAAGCACACTTGCTAAAATGGACATGCACAAACGTAAATGTAAAAAAACATGCGCAAAAGTGCATTCGCAACAACGTTCTTTAAAACACGAACTACAATACTAGGATTTTGATACGCATCAACAAACAACAGCAAACACACTAGGTAAAAAAGATACAGTGGAGTGTAGAAATAAAACTCTACGTTTACGTGCATTTTTTTCCAGATTAATTTATATTTCTATATTAATTGGTGGATTTGGTTTCTTATAGGTACAAATCGAAAATTAGGTGTCCAAAAAGCAAAAAATATCAAAGAGTAAGAAAAGAGTTGCAATTAGGAAAATAAAATCACATTAGAAGAGCGAATCCCCGAACATCTTTGGTAGTGTCCACGAAGTCGAGCATAACTTTCTCATCCAGACTCCAAATCAACTGGTTCCGGCGGCATTGGATAGCTCTTTGAGCTGGCTACAATCCTCTCTAATGGCAAAATTCAAATTGGACTCGAACATGGTCAAAATTGGATTCCAAAAGCGATCATGAAAATACGTACTATAGTTCGAGAACATGAATGCGCATCAAGAAACGTGCACAAAAACACTCGCTAGAAGTGATACTCACATAAGTAAAAGTACAAAAGCATGCACAAAAGTACTCACGCAAAAGTGCATTCGCAAAC